TTTTTATTTGACCATATTTGAGAAAAACATTTATACTTTAGAGGCTTGACTATTTGTTTCTGAAGATTTTCAGCAGAAGGATTTGGCAACGCTGCTCAGGAGTGGTTGTTATTATTACTTAGTTTTTTTAATTTACAAATTATTTTCATAAATATTACGGAAAATAAATGTAAATACAGCAATTGTTATGCATGTGTTATTTAATTCTTAAATATATTTTTATGTATATTTTATTATATATATATATATCAGCTTTTTTATGCACATTGACCGCCCTGCTCTCCCGCCAAAAATCCTATATCTGTTGACCACTACTCAGAAGTGAATGAGTTACACAGAAAGGCTTGGACAAACCAAAAACCCTTGATGGTCCAGCTAATAAAACTCAAACTTCACTGGCTTTTCATTGCCATGTTTGATAATTATTCACTTGTTAGTTATTAACACATGCACAAACACAGACACAACAGGGCAGGAGCACTGCCTTTATAATACCTGCCCTCCAGGTAAAGTGTCACTGTATCTGCTCAACCAAACTATTGTTCAGAAACAGAACGTGGTGCACCTCATCTGATTGACAGGTCACTATGGCAACATTTCCTCAAGCGTGTGACTCACAGTGCTTTGGTGATGTCATAATAATAACATCAAATGTCATAATGGCAGTTACTATAGTAACACACCACACCCACTAAGGAGAGGTTCTTTCACCATATACAGCCCGCATCTGACACAAATAAACAATATTTCACCAGTTCCTGTTACAAACACACACAGGCAGACCACTTCACTCAAATACATTAACTGAAAACGAATTATTATTACAAAGTTAAGTATTTAATATGAGTGTGCAGTGAGTTTCATCATTGATTAATACATTTTCACAATTAAAGTTAACTATATTAAAATCATGAAATAAAATACATTTTTGTTACTTAAAATAAATGTTAAATCAATTAATATAAAAAGCTTAAACTTGTATTTTATTTTATTAAAGCAACATTTCTCATTTTTGTTTAGTTTAACAAAGTACTAAAATTTAAACTAAATAAAAACTTAAAGGGGTCATATGATGCTGCTAAAAAGAACATTATTTTGTGTATTTGGTGTAATAAAATGTGTTTATGCGGTTTAAAGTTAAAAACACATTATTGTCCACATACTGTACATTATTGTTTCTCCTCTATGCCCTGCCTTTCTGAAACGCGTCGATTTTTACAAAGCTCATCGGTCTGAAAAAGCGAGGTGTGCTGTGACCTAGAGTGAGCAGAGGCAGCGGGGTTGAGAACGGTGCAGCCGGCGGATCGGACGAAGGAGCGGCAAGCACATGTGACGACCCCGGGCTTCGTCCACGGTGAAAGCCGATCAGGCGATCCACAGCACTAAGTTGATGTATTTCCTCAGCGACCAGCACAGATAAGCTCTAGGCATGACGAAGCGGATATCGTCGTCTTTTGGAAGACCAAACAAAGTAGTTTTGCTTTCACAACGAAGCACACAGCGTCTTTAGGACATGGCGGAAAGCGGCAACAATACTTCAGTGAGAATAAAAGTTACGCCTTCTTTCTTTGCGTGAACATTTGGGCGGTGTTATGCAAATCTTCCCACATAGTGAGGTAGACATGTGGGGGCGTGTTAGAACGAGCTGTTTTAGGTAGGTGTGGCTGACTCTTAACTTTTATAAAGAATATCTCTTTGGATTTGAGACTTTAGTCTTTGCCACTTTACAGATCTTCTTTATGCACCAAGAGCTTGTAACACTCCAAAGAGAAAGGGAAAATTGAAATCGCATCATATGACCCATTTAAACTAAATAAACTAAACTCATTAAATAAAACAACTAGGTAGACATATTTTAAAAATAATACTAATAAAAATGTAAAAAATAAAACAAAATGTATTTTAAATTAAAATGATAGAGAAAACAGAAAAAAATTCAAAATATTAATCAAACTATATTAGTATATCATCAATTATATTAAAATAACACTGACTCACAATCAAACAGACCATGCAACCAATCCCAAATCAGACAATCAGTCAACCTGAGTTTCATGAATTACCTGTTCATGTTACTTAATATCAGCCTAAAACCGAAAGAAAGAACAATGCCAGCCTGTCCTGGCCATGGGAAGACACTGATTTACAGCTAATGGAGTGAACACTGGAGTTTTGTGTCCCTGAATGCCGCTTTCAGCACACAGGCCTGCTAATATGCCAGAACTTTGATCTCAGGTTAGACAGCAAACTCATTTGTTTAAAGTAACAGAACACCAAAGTCTGTAGGCCAAATGAAACAGACTTGTCAACCTTACTTGTCCTTGTTCGTGCTTAGAGCTTTGAAGATTTCCCACAAGGATTCAAATTCATGAAAAATGACTCCGAATGCAGCCTCTGAATTAAGATTTCACATTCAGACTGTATTATCAGAGTCGAACCCACAATAGACGTCTCATCTAGTATTTAAATTAGTGGTCGGTCAGTGCACATTCTTGAAAGCCTTAAAAGTCCACCTAGGCCAAAGGGCACAATATATTTTTTTGAGCATTTCATGTGATCATAAGCAATGTGCCTGACATGAAAGCTTATAAATAGGAAAGAGTTGTGCAAATACTTACTAACGTTACTATTTAATTACACTTCATTGTAAGAGAAATTTGTATTGGACTCTATGGTGGTGCTGAACAGATATATACACAATATAAACATTAAAAATCAAATGTGGATATCACTTCATTATATATTAGTCATTATAAATAAAAAACAATCTTCATTGGTCATAGTAAAAGTGTTTATATATAATAAATATATTATTTAGAAAAAAATTATTGATTTATGGCTAAAAAAGTTTTTTGTATCAAATATTTTGCTTAGTGAAAAGTGAAGTGATTTTTATTGTATTGTAAATATTTTATTTATAAATGTCATTACATTTATGCAATGTTTTACTTTTACTATGACTAATAAATATTATTTTAATTTATAATGTCCAATAAGTGATGTCCACATCATAAATATTTTTATTATTCATTTCAAATAATATTAGAATTTTTATTATTAGTTAGTGCACATTATAGTACATTTATGCAAAGTAGTAGAAAAGTGTTAATAATAAGAACAATTTGAATATGGGGGAAAGTGGTTAACGCCATAATCTGTCTCTCTCTAATGAAGACCTATGAAATACTTCAAATAAAAACATTTGAGAAGACCTTAAGAGTGATTCTGCTTTTGTTTAACGGGTGCAGTTTTGATACCCTGAGTTTCAACTTGTGGTTTTGATTAGATTTGTGACTCATTCAGGTATGCGAGACAATGTCAGTGAATACACAAACTTTTGACAACATCAGATTTTAACGACACACACACACGCAGACCAATGTCTGTGTCTGTGTAAGACCTATAGGTCAAGGCTGAGGTCCAAGTTCCCCGTGTGAAACACTAACAGACTGGAGTAACGCGATGTTCAGTGTGTAACTCACCCACGGCGGCAGCTCTGAGCTCCGGACGCTCTGTCGCACCGCTCGCTCCTCTTGCTCCAGAAACGCCAGCGCGCGGTTCACCGGAGCGAATCTGCTGCCCTGGTTCCGTCTGAGCCAGAACAGCGCGGCCAGGACGATGAGGACCCAGCTGAAGCTGAACTCCAGATATCCCAGCACGTATATGGGTAAAATCAACAGGAATGTCTTGGCGAACTTGATTCCCATCTGCGTGGTGTCCGTCACCGCGGACTGCGGCTCCTCGTCCGGTAGCACCGGCTCGGGTGTATTGACATCGGTGGGGCTCGGAGGAACAGAACCCGGTCCGTTCAGACTGGCCGCCGGTGCGGGTTTGGGTTCCACTCCGTTCACTGACGCACTCATCTCCAAAGTACACAAATCCAAAACAAACAACAAAAGTAAAAACCAAACAACTAAGAGAGCTTCTACAGAAACATCTCAGACGTTTACAAATCTTTGTCAGGAAACAAAACGAGTCGCGTCGCTCGGTTCCGGGCTCTTCCCAGGAGCTCAGATGACTGGATCAGCGCTGCTCCCTAAACTGCTCCCCACCCGACCTTGCCTTGTATGGGGCGGCCGTCGGCCAGTGATTTTCCGCCCTTTCCAACGAACTTTAACTCGCTCGAGTCTTCCAGCTGCTGTCCGAGCCACGTCTCGCTGTCCCGACCGTCACCGCGCGAGCTGAGAGCGGTACCACCTCTCGCGCTCACCACATCCTGCGAGAACACACGCACTCATGAGTGCGACCAAACCCGCTGCTCAGGGTTACACACACAGGAAGGCTCTCGCTGGCAGAACGAGGGTGGCGCAACGAGCGCAGAGGCGGTCTACAAGCGCCACCTAGTGGACAACATTTAACACACTGATTGTCTATCTATCTATCTGTCTGTCTATCGCAACAACAAAAAATTCAACCGACCAAACCCTTGCATTACTCTGATTAACATTAGCGCAAAATCTATCTATCTATCTAAAAAAAATAATTCCAGAAAGACCAAAAACTTGCATTAATACTGCATATGCCCCAGTGTTTACGTTAAAACATACTTTAAATCTAAATCGATCTATAATTGACATGCGGTAGTAGCTCAATAGAAACAGTTTGACTCATAAGTCAATCATAAATAAGAAAATGTTAATACTTTAGCTTTTTCCTTATACTTGTATCCATTAAGCACACAATTACAGTAAAACACTCAGCTAAACACGCCCTTCCCTTCATATTGGATTTTACTTTTTTGTATTTTACAGGATAAATGGGTTATATAGCCTATGTGATGTATGACAAAATACTGTGATTGGAAATTAGCTGGTTTTAATGCATTTTGTTCACTAGATGGCAGTGCATGTACATTGTGGTCCTTCAACAAACGTTTACAAGACAGATATGTATTCTGCATAAGAATAGTTGAAAATATTTTATTGACATATGAAAAGACATCGTGACATAATCAAAGTGCTTTTGTATCTTACAGGTAATGGAAGCTTCAAAAATAAATAAAGATATAATAAACACACATTGTGCATATGTCCTCTTTCTGTCACTTTTCCATCCCTCCCTCCTCTCTGTCTCTCTAGATATAGACATAAAGCAGGAGAGATCAGCTGATGCTGGGCAATGAATCTAGAATGCAAATTCTAGTTCACATAGGTCTATATTTATGCGTATCACAGTGCCGATGTGATCTTATTCATATACATGATAAAATGACCTAAATGTTAGCCTAAACTATTAAATCACAAAAATGATATTGCAAAAGCTAGACAAAACTGAAACAATTTTCTGTACATAATTAACAATTATGAAAATGACTTAACATTAGTATCTTTAAAATGATAAACATGCTAGATAAGTCAGTTTGTGATATTCTAATACAACTTCAAAAATGTGTATCAACAAAGACAACAGCAAAGACGAGCATAAAACAACGATATGCAAAGAAACGTACATGAAAGCACAAATATGACAGGTATATTTGTGACCGCAGGTTTAAAAACACAAATAAATAACACTAATTTAATTGGCAACAGCTATATTTATCATATAAAATCCCCCGTTCTTTAAATTAAATTTTAGTGTGCAAGTTAAAAAAAGAACCAACACTAGCAAAATATTGGGCGACACAAAAACTGAAAAAGATATGCTTCAGGAGTCTTGCAAGTCCCTCTGTGAATGATATGCGAGTGTGTGTTTGCTAATTTGAGGGTGTTCAATCTACAGTTAGCAGGCTGACAGAAGTGCTGACAGTGAGAAGGTGCTGGAAATCATGGTTGTTGTGCCCGAGAACAACCATGAGAATGAGCCTGTCTTTAAGATCATCAGTGTGCGTGTTTCTACATGTTGTAAGCCACATATATGGGGTCGAGCTGGTCGGCGAGGAAGCCGTCCCGTAGGTGCATGCGTTGCTTCTCTCCACGAGAATTGATGGGAATTACGCCCGTGTCCACAACCACCACCACGCCAACAATCAAGTAGTGTTCCTCTAGAACCACATTAGTTACCATGGGAACCAGATCTAGAGCTTCCTGCTCGGAACCGTCCAACTCCACCACCACCACTAAGAGATTCGTCCATGTGAACGCCGCACTGAATGAGAGAGAGAGAGAGAGAGAGAGGAAGTTTAAACTTTACTCTATGGAAATATGTCAAAACAATATATCTGTGCAAGCTCCATTTCACACGTTTGCGCAATGCAACTACGCTAGGCATTAGCATAAACTCTTGATCTGCAGTCAGTTTTCCCTCTCAGGTCAACTACTCTATTTTCAGCAACATTATGAAGAGAAACTTGCTGAGCAAATATGTTTATGGATGGCTACCTGAATAATAACATATCCGGTTTAAGGACACAGACATTTGAAGGAAACCACTGCTTCCTTGAATACTGAGGTTTGTTACTGGCAGTAAAAAATACATGTTTATGTTGAATGTGGCTCATTTAATAATTTTTAAGTGTGAAGTCTTTGGTTATTAACTCAAGCTTTATTTATTGTGCAGCAGCTGGGTTTTGTTTAGTGCAGATCTCAGACTTATTATTTAGTTGTTATGAATAATAACACTTAGTTTTGATTTCACCATACCTTTGAAATACCTTTCAGTTATAAACTATTTTAATAATTTAATCATCATAAAAGCACAAGCACAAGTATTCCTACATGGATGCCTAAAATATTAAATGTTTTGGGTTGTATTTCCAGTAAAAATCAGTATATTTGATATGTATAAACTACTGTTTAAAAGTTCGGGGTCAATCAGACTTTTTTTTTTTAAAGGAATTAATACTTTTATTCAGCAAGGATTAATTAAAATGACTGAAAGTGATGAAAAATATATTTTATAATGTTGCAAAAGATATTTCAAACAAACTGTTATTCTGGGCTTTCTATTCTTTAAAAATATTTAGCAAAAAAAAAAAAAAAAGATCACGGTTGCCACAAAAATGGTAAGCATCACAGAACATAACTGTTTTCAACATTGATGATAAGAAATATTTCTTAAGTATCAAATCATAATATTAAAATTATTTCTGAAGTATCACGTGACACTGAAGACTTGAGTAATGATGCTGAAAATTCGCAAGGATTAATTAAAATGACTGAAAGTGACGAAAAATATATTTTATAATGTTGCAAAAGATATTTCAAACAAACTGTTATTCTGGGCTTTCTATTCTTTAAAAATATTTCGCAAAAAAAAAAAAAGATCACGGTTGCCACAAAAATGGTAAGCATCACAGAACATAACTGTTTTCAACATTGATGATAAGAAATATTTCTTAAGTATCAAATCATAATATTAAAATTATTTCTGAAGTATCACGTGACACTGAAGACTTGAGTAATGATGCTGAAAATTCAGCTTTGCCATAACAGAAATAAATTACATTTTAAGATATAAAACATTTATTTTAAATAGTAATAATATTTCACAATAATACTGATTTTAAAAAAAATTTTGTGATCAAATACATGCAGCCTTGGTGAAAATTTTAAAAACATAAAAAAAAAATCTTACCAACTCCCGAATTTTTGAACGGTATACTTTTATATATTTATATACTTTTATTGTAATATAAAATAATTATATAGGTTGACATAGCTCCCACCACTAATTAGCATATGTGACCCTGGATCACAAAACCAGTCATAAGGGTCAATTTTTCAAAATCGATATGTATACATCATCTGTATGAGCTGAATAAATAAGCTTTCCATTGATGTTGTTGTTCCATTGTATGGTTTGTTAGGATAAGACGATATTTGGCTGAGATACAACTATTTAAAAATCTGGAATCTGAGGGTGCAAAAAATCTAAATACTGAGAAAATCGCCTTTAAAGTTGTCCAGATGAAGTTCTTAGCAATGCAAATTGCTAATCAAAAATTAAGTTTTGATATATTTACGGTAGGAAATTTTCTAAATATCTTCATGGAACATGATCTTTACTTAATATCCTAATGATTTTTGGCATAAAAGAAAAATCGATAATTTTGACCCATACAATGTTTTTTTGGCTAATGCTAAAAATATACACAAGCGACTTAAGTTTTGTGGTCCAGGGTCACATATTTACAGTACACCGTGTACTGGCCTTAGTGTGAATATGTGGCTGTGTGTGTGTGTGTGTGTGTGTGTGTGTGTGTGACTTCACCACTCTGTGATATTCCGGTGTGCCCTGATGATGGACGTTTCAATGTCAATGGGATGGTATTTCATACCTCTCAGCTCCATGACTTCATCTAACGCTCCCACCACATAAAGGGCATCGTGCCTTTCTGAACACACACAAATGAAACAACTCAATGCAAATCTTTGTGACAAAAAGCACAGTATACACTGAACACACACCTCCACTTGCATCAGTGAGGTCGGTCCTGCGCAGGAACCCCAGGTATCCGGTTCTGGCCCACACAGTCTGAGTGTCTCCAAAGCTCAACCTGGCTCCGAAATGATCCGATCGCACATTTTCCTCTCCGAGCACAGTGAAGTACCCACTGGCATTCTGTGGACTATGGACCCAGATCTGCACTCATTTTAAAAAAGAAACACAAGTGAGACGCTTGGTTATGAGAAGATATTTTTTGATCTATAGATGAGAGAGTGCTTTTGGTCTAACCTCCCCTAAATGAGAGTCTCCGATTGGTCCCTTTGTCTCTGGGTTAGCGATGATGATGCGTACACCAGGTAAAATCTGTTCAAAAATGATTTAAAAATGAATGTGGCTTACATTTAATTTAAGAAAACAAATAAAGAAACTTTTAATTGTCTTACTTACCTTCCCAGATTCCATGAGAGGTAGACTGTGTGGAGATCCTCTTTCAACCAGTCTTACCCTACAAACACACACAGACACACTTCAGAAATGGAAAACCAGAAATAAATCATACAAAAATACATTCATATTTAGCAATATATTATATAGTAGTAAACATTTTGAAAATATTTAATATTAATCTAAATTATATATTTAGTTTCACCTTCTGAGGCAACATTTGTTTAAAAGTTTCAGGCACTATTTTGTACCCAATTTGTAGATTTTTGATTGGTAGTGTATCTGTTCTAATTCTAAGAATGGAAATAATGAAATACCTAAAATATGTGTGTGTGTGTCTTGCCTGTCATGTCTCAGTGCTCTCATGTCCACATAGACAGTCGTAGGATCCGGTCCTGATGTTCCCTGCACAAACATTAAAATCATCTTCTATAAATGGCAGTCTAATTTACTTTAAAACATGAAGCATCATGCTTATCTGGCAAACAGTTACTATCAAGGTGACTTGCATTAACAGTGAACAGAAATGTACAAATGTATAGTGCATGGAGAGGATTCAATCAATCAGCAGAACTGGGAAGGTAGAGGAACTATAGTATTGCCCTAGTGTGTGATATTGACAACAAAAAACCCAATATTTTCTGGTATATGTGATTATGATTATTAGGTGAAATTTTGCAGAGTTTGTTTTTGTACTGTTACCTTATCTGTTATTCTATTTTTATACTCTGTGCGGTGGTTAGTTCACAGTAGAGACAGTAGACAGTAGAGAATATTTGCCTATTTAATTTGATTTTCAGGTGCATTTTTACCTTTATAAGGGCAATTAGATGTATGCATCATGTTTTATGTCAAAGTCTTAGAATTAATAAATTAAATTAGAATAGAATAAAAAGACACTATAGGCTTGTACCCATTAAAATGAAAGTAGCATCAACAAAGCACATCTTTGCATTGCAGAATTGGCATCTGAAGTGTCATTTAGATACATTTACACTGCAATTACAATTGAATAAATAATGCTATGAGATTAATATTTATAAAATAATATTTTGAATATTGAAATATGAAATAATAACTTAAAAATAAAAAGATACTTAAAATATGAAACTAAATATTCAGGAAAAACAGCATGCTTGCTTGTGTGATATTACTTAACTATATCATATAGAAATATAAGACAAGACATTTTGGGGGGCATTCCTACTGCATTTAAATAGGTCACACCGCGCAGTAAAAATGTGCACTCTAAAGGCATGTTTTTGTTTGTTGTTATACATTTCCACATAACAAACTATGGTCAAAACAGCTTATGCCAAACAGGTTAAACTGTTGGCATCCATCATTCGAAGAAAGAAAACCTCCAGTTCCAGTGTAGCTGTGAGATATTTGTTTGTATAATAATATGTAATGGCCAAATATATTTAGATTCACGCAAGAATGAAAATAATAAACCGTGCTGGTGCTCACTTTTTATGAGCCACCCTGAAACTAATCAGAAATGTGAATGCAGCATGACTGTTTCTTTGCATCATTTATGACTGAATCTGGAGATATACATGCTTTAATTTCTCTCACACACACACACACTCACACTCACACCATATCAGCTGTGTGGAATCTGTGGATCACTGTGTCATTTCAGGTGAGGTTAATATTTTGCCGATTAGTCAACTCGTAAAAATGAGTATTCATGCACACAGGAAGATAATTAGTGAATTTACTCCCACATCGAAATATATAATTGTAGTAACTGAGCTATGAAATGATGAGGAACGGTTAAAGTTCAGTCATACCTGCTCAGCAAGCTTCCCCAACCTATGAGGCTACATGAGGAGAGGAGAGGAAGATGTGATGTATAAATATTAAAAAAGTAAATTAAAAAACTGAAAAAGAAAACAAAATAATATAAATAAAAAGTAAAAAACTAAAATAGAAGGTTGAATGAGTTACATGACTAGTAAAAGCGGGAAAAAAACTGAACACTGGGGATGCAATTAGACTATGAAATCAGATATGGGTCACTTTCTGGCCAATACTGACCTGTAGGCAGATGGCGAGATTGACCCTGCAGCCGAAAGCAGTGCTGACGGCACGCGGGTGCAGCCCCACGTCCTTAAAGAGCTTACAGAAGGACTGTGTCAGAGCAACACGGGGCCTCTCTTCCGCCACAACCACACACGAACGCACACGGGACAGATCCATCCCACGGGCCTGAGAGAGACACAAAACTACAGTGGTGAAATAGGAAGCAGTTTATTTCAAGGAAAGAAAATGTTGTTTAACGAGATGCAGATTAAAATCCTGTGTGAGTGTGTGTGCACGTACCTTTAGAGAATCAGTGAGAGAGCTGAGAGACCTTATGCAGAGCTCCATCACAGAGTATGAGCAGAACGTGTCTCGGACTTTAAACTGACTGACGGACTGCAGCCACAAAGCAGGATTCACCTCTAGATCCATTGGAGAGATCAGAACAGACTGCTGCCCTGCATACACGCTACACACACACAAATAAACAAATAAAAAGGTCCTTAACATTTGTGTTTGCATCTGTGTGTGCATTTCAGGTGAGAACACAGGTAGTCCGAACCTGCAGAGACACCACAGGACGAAGCCAAGGCCGCAGTATGGGTCGAGACACACGGCCACCTCACGAGAGGGGTACAACTCACACTGCAGTTTAACAGAGCGACACAGGGCACTGGTTGCATTGTGAGACATCTTCAGAGAAAGAGAGAAAAACAGAAATGATTGTTTTTTTTATTGCAATTTTAATTTAAAAAGGTTATCAATAATAGTAATATTAACAATAATCTGTAGTCCATACATAAAAACATTAATAACAATTATGAGGAGTCAAACCTTCACTCCAGCAAGCATTCCTGTAGTGGACACACTGAAGTCCAGATACGCCAATGAGTCTGGGTCACATGGTTTATACAGCAGGGGACAACGCCTCTTTGGCAAGTCATCTAATAAATACACACACACACACACACACTTTTGATGAGTATCTGACAGGCGTAATTCTGAACAAAGATGTTATGTCCCTGACAGACTCACCTGTTTCCAGGATAGGAGGCCATGATTTAAAGTCCACAGCCACTGACGCATCTCTGGACTTCAGAAGTTTAGAGATTGCTTGGGTGGTCATAACACACACTGAACGACTCACCTGCACACACCAGCATGTTTATTCATTAAAAACTGTAATGTTTTAATATCCATATGCATTGTCTCATTCTATAATGTACCACATTTAACAATAATTGATATTTGATTTAAGCCTGTAAAGGGTTGATTTAATCCTGACATGGAACAGTTTATTGCACCTTTAGACAAAATGTTTAAAAAAAAAAAACTAAAAAAAAAACCTGCATAAATGTCTTTGTTGAGAATTCTACTTGATACGTCATGCTTATAATATAGGAGAATATAGTGCTTAAACTCGAGAAGGAAAAATTCACCTCAATTTTATTCAGAGGCCAAAACTGAGCAAAAAATATGCTATTTCGTGCTGTAGCTGATATTTATATAGTCTAAAAATAAGATGAAATTCTGATGGCTTGTAATGTAGATCAGGGAGATCTTTATAACAGTATAGCAAACTATTTCTATAAAATTAATTTAAACATCAGCTATCAATCTATATTTCCCAATAATATGTTTTAGTAAGATACTATTTTAATGCTTAGTTTTATGATCAAAGCTGTGTAGTTTTAATTGTGGTGAACAAAATATAATGCAATGCAAAACAATGATGATGCTTTTGTCCAGTGTTCATCTTGAAATATTATTATTGATATAAAATTGATTCTTACATTTACTTTATAAAAATCAGTGAGCATTTTACAGCAAAAAACATGTACCATGTCCTGAAGAGCGTTTTTAGAATTATACTAAAAGGCCTTTTACTTGCTAAAAAAAAGTATAAACTATTAATGTAGAAAACCATGTTCAACAGGTTCTTCAGCAAAGTTTGCATCATGTTGATAATTTAGAGGCCATACATTTGAGTATTACATATGATTAACTAGGGTTAACTATTAGGTACTTCTCTGATAATTTAATTCATGTAACTGTAGGTGCGGTGGAGATATTTTGAGGGTGTGTGTGTGTGTGTCCTCACCTCCAGGATCATTTTAACTGTAGGTAGTGTAGTGGAGATGTTCTGAGGGTGAGGTGGTCGTACAGTTATAGGAATACAGCCTGCATACAGACAGCCATAAAAGGCGGCGATCAGATCTAAACCTGTAACGCAAACAAAATAGAAACACATTTATAAAAACACAATGGCACACCTGAACTCAAAGAAGTCAGAAATGCTCCTTATTTTTGATAATTTTATTAACACTCACTGCTGAAGGGAACTTAGGAAAGTAATATATGTATGTTACCCGTGTGTTAATGAGTGTGTAAAGTATGTGGTCAGGCGTTGTCTGAGCTCTCCACTGCAGCACCTCTGACAGAAACAGGAACTGGAATTCACATAAGAGAAAGAATAATCAGTCCGAGCGGAAGACACAAACACACTCACACATACTCATAAGACCTATACAAGTTTTCCTTGAGGGGGTTCAGTTAAATTTGTGTTTCACAGATATACTTTGTGATTTCATTCAAATTTTTGGCTCTTCCCAACTCTTTCCATCTCCAAAAAAACTACAGAGGCCCTAGAGTTGTATGATTTGGGGGGCGGCAATCTAATTGCATATTTTACACAAAAAATTGCAATTGTGATTTAAAATGTTTTTTTTTTTAAAACATTTTAGCTCCAGGTTTGTTGTGTTTTTGGTAGGGCTGCACAATTATTATCATAATTAAATAAAAAGCATTAAGCAAAATAAGAAATACTACTATTGCAAAAACACTATTTCATTAACAAAAGTATTTAAGTGAAATAACAATGATGATTTTGCTATTTCATTTTTCCTTACAAATTGTATTACCAGCATAACAATTCGAGTAACTGTGTAAAAGGTATGGCATGCATTCGCCATCCTTCTAGAACAATGTGCATTTATGTTAAAATTGTAACATAAATTATCAAGTTGAGTTATTTTTATTTCTTTATTGCAAAACGCTAAAAACTGGCACCGTTTTGGAGAGAAATGGGCTCTCATTTTAACCCATATCATGGTGTGTGATGCTGAACTATGAGTTTCTAATGGTGTATGTATTTGCACTGTTCTAAACATTAATATTTTATGTGCAACAGCAGCGTGCTGTCTCAGTGGCCTTACACATGATTTTAAATCTATTTTTTTCAAATTTTATGGTTTAAATGGGGATGCTTGTACTGAGAATAACTTTAATCTTTTCTTCGACTGAATACTGTTTCCATGCTGTTTTGATGTATTTTAAAGAGTTGGCAGTCAAAATTAAAACGGCTGGATGATAGATACTCTTCATTCTTTATGACAAATAAGATAATGTGAATTACAGAATGTACAACATTTTTAAAATGTATAAATTGCAGTGTACAGCATTTATTATGAGGGGGTAGAATCCACCGCTCAGTACTCACGAGTACTTTTAAATAGGCTACTCTTTTACTCTTACTCAAGTAGTTTTTTTGGACAAGTACTTTTACTCTACTCACACTACATTTTTTGGAAGGTAATGGTACTTTTACTTGAGTATATTTTTTCAGTACTCTTTCCACCACTGGTTGCCACACCCACAGTGAAATCTCATTGGTGCAAAATCTTCACATAGATAACTATACATTAAATCCAATCAGCTTGGCTATGACTTTGTTGCTTAGTGCAGCACTTTTGCTTTCAGCAAGGACAGAAAAATGCAAACTTTGAGCCTGCTTATGTATGTATGTATGTGTGTACCTGCAAAACTCGGCTCATCCACTGGTAACTCTCTTCTTCAGTTGAATCTGGTCTCTGTTCTGCTACCAGCACAATCCTCTCATCATACAACACATTCACTGAGAACACCACCGTCCTATACAGAGGGAGCACAGAGATTACCCAGATGGATTTAAAACAAGATCATTTCTAGAGTAGTATTCTGGTCTTACTTTTAATACATACCTTCCTCTATAGATGAACTTCATGGGCTCCACAGCAAGAGCTGTAGCGATGATATCATCAGCATTGTGTTTCCGACCCCCAACTTGCATCAGTCCTTCCAGTGTACCAGAAATAAAGATCATCTCGCCCGGACCCACAAACCCCAGCAGACCTGACCTCACATATACACAATCGCTGACCAATCCACTGTCACACGCCATTGGACACACCTGCACCATAGAGACACAAACAAATTCTCTGACTGACAGGACACACACTAAATAGTAGGATACACACACTTTCTACTTAAAATGCACCAACATTTAATCATAAAATTGTTGACAACTTGAACCAACTAATTACTATAAATGACCAGCTTGGACCAGAAACATTTGAATACGTAGAAACCAGGTAAAACCAGCTACAAATGCACTAAAGTGTTTTTTTACTTCACTACAGTAAATCAAAGATGTTTTACATACACTGCTGTTCAAAAGTTTGGGGTAGGTAAGATTTTGTAATGTTTTTGAAAAAAAGTCTCTTGCTCACCAAAACAGCAAATAAATAAATAAATATATTTTTGTATTTAGAATATGTATAATACAGTAAAACAGTATTATTGGGAAATATTATTACACTTTTAAAAAAGGTTTCCTATTTTAATAGATTTTTAAAAATATATTTATGAACATTGAAAATATTTCAAATTGCTCAAGAAAAATGTCTTATTATTATGAATGCTGAAAACAGTTGAGCTGCTTAATGTCTATGTGCAAACCGTGAAACATTTTTTTCAGAATTCTTTGAGGAATAGAAACATCAAAAGAAACACATTTATTTGAAACAGAATTCTTTTGTAACATTGTAAAAGTCTTTACTGTCACTTTTGATCATTTTAATATGCCCTTGTGGAATAAAAGCATTAATTAAAAAAACAAACAAACAAACGTTTAAACAGCAGTGAATCTTAACATAATGAAATTTGGTGTATATTCCGTATATATTGTATTTTCACACCTCAAATGTGTTCTTGCTCATTCCTGTAAGCCCATAATATGACGTTCCCGTGGCAACAGACGACACACAGATCTCTCCAATCTCATCGGTTTTACACAGTTGAGGAACACCCTCCAGTTTAACAACACACACCATTGCTGAGAGAGAAAGAGAAAAGTCAGTTTTACGAGAACCATAAAGTCGTTTGATGAGGTCTGTGGTCACATGAGGAAAACAGCGCTGAACTGCTCTAGGCTGGTTTACGACGTAGATGTTGGACCTGAATCAAAATGCTTTTAAAAAAAATGTTCATTCGTTCATGTTCTCGTAATCGCTGTACCTCCTGGCATGGCCGTGCCCACATCCTGTAGGGCGAGAACGGACAGCTTCTCTCCAGTGTCCACTCTGATGACCCCGTGACTCAGATTCGTCATACTTAGGACCCCTCGGCCTGCTGGCTTAGAGCTGCCCTCCTGAGGCCTGACAGAAAACACATGCATACAAATAAATGAAAGAATAAACATGTCCATATGTGTTGCCAGAATATTATGTTACCATAGACACAATATTTTCCAGATTTAATAAACAATTTGGAATTGTGTGGTTTGGCTTCCTGGAGCTGCAAAAGCTCTGACAAAAGAGGTTTGATTGGCTGGTGTGAATATTACTTGGCATTCTCAGTCCTTAATAAAAGATTTTTTATAAAGTTATATCATTATGTAGTTTCTACCACCAAATCCTTGCATCTGCACCCACAAAAATCCCACTGAATGTGGCACCAAAAGAATACAAAACATAAAACATAAAAGTATAAAACATGAGGAGACTCGTGGTATTTTATTAAGATTCGTTAAAAAGTTTGGGGTCGGTAAGATTTTTTAATATTTTTCAAAGAATTCTCTTGTGCGCCACCAATGCTTTGTTTATTTGATAAAATATTGTGAAATATTATAACAATTTAAAATGACAGTTTTCTTCTTGAATATATTTTAAAATGTAATTTATTCTTGTGATGCAAAGCTGAATTTTCAGCAGCTATTACGTCAGTCTTCAGTGTCACATGATCCTTCAGAAAACATTCTAAAATGCTGATTTTTGGTGCTCAAGAAACATTTCTTATTATTATTATTAATGTTTGAACTAGATTTGCAAACGTTTGTCTTGTAAGAGATATTCAATAGTTTCGTTTGAGAAATTTGAGATATCTACAGTCACACTTTATATATTTCATTTTGCACTTTGGGTAGTATCTGATTTCAGATTTATCAGCCTACAAATATAAAAGGAAAGAGTGGAAGGTAACTACACGTCGGTCAGGCAGCCTTTTTTGTTTATTTGGGCAATTCTTGGCCATGTGAACCAGACTTTATGGCGATATAGTGCAATTTCCGTCTGATAACACTATTTAAACTTGGACCACACACAAACACAATTAAATGTATTTTAATGATTGATTAAGAACCAAGCAGTTTTCACTACATGATGTTAAAATCTGAGTCAGATGTATTTCTTAATAGTTTTGCGTGTGTCTTTGTGCATGAATGTGCATAGGCCTGGTTATGTTGTTTGTAATGTGCGACCACAAAAGACAGAACTTCCCATTTTAATGAGTTTAAACTGAAAA